TGATTTCACTCAGTGTACTATAAAATAAAAAAATAACAAATAAACAAAATAAGACAAAAACAAACTCATAGACACAGACAACATAATGGTGGTTACTAGAGGGAAAGAAGGGTGTGGGGGAGGACAAAATGAGTAAAAGAAGTCGAATATATGGTAACAGATATAAACTAAAATTTTGGTAGTGAGCATGCAATAGAGTATACAAATATCAAATTATAATGTTGTATACCTGAAAGTTATGTTATTAGCTAATGTTATCCTGATTTAAAAAAATTTAATTTAAAAAAGTGAACTTGATGTTTACAAAAATTTTTTACAAGAATTTTTAAAAAATCATTTAGGTCAGGGGAATCTCAGGATAGAATGTAGAATGTGACAAAACAATTTCACTGTACACAAATTTATGAAACAAACATACTAAAAAGGATGAGGGAAGGAGGCGCTGAATTTAGTAACCAGGTATCAATGGAGTTTGTAAGCTCATGGCAAAAAAAAAAAAACCTACATAATCACTGTGCTCTGTGGTTGAAAAAGTTGTTTTCCACGAGAGTAACAATTCTGAAACCACTTTACATATATTCTGGAATTAAACAATTCAAGTAAATGGGTAGCAGATGGTGGTAGCTAGGTTTCTCAAGTTGGAGTGAAAGTTTACAGATAAGCAAGGGGAGTATAGAATCATTTATGTGGTGATAGATCAAGCATCAGTATGAATTCATGTTTTACTTAATAGAAATATAGATGTTACATATAGAAATATTTATGTGTGTATATGCACACATTAGTATACACACATATATTGCCTTGCTCTGTCAACTGAAAGAGCCTCAAAGCAACAAAACCCCAGCAGCATTGAGCACTACTAGGGCCCAGATCTTGATTTCTAATACCATTCTTCAATTAAAGGAACTAGATTCCTTGGATAAAAAGGTTGTTACTAGGACTGGAGAAGGAAATATACAATATGAGCCTGGAACATCTTGTAGAAAGTAAGGAAGTGGTCAAAAAAAATCAACACTAGTGGGACTATGTCAAAGGGACACAAGAGTCAAATGAAAAGAGCTACCACTGTCCAAAAAGGGGGAAATTTCAACAACAAAATGAAGTAGTATCGGATAACCCAAAGTATAAAACAAATAACTATGTGCCCAAACTCATATAAATAAATGATTAAATAAATTAATAAGTGAGAGAGAAGAAACATATCCGTGCAGAATTCCAAACAATTAATATAGATACTCCATCCTCAAGGAGGTAGAGCATAATTCTTCACTCCCTGAGTGTATAGTGACTTCCTTCCAAAGAGTACAGTATGGAAAGGGGAGAAACAGAATAACTTTACAGTGGAGAAACCTGATAAACACCACTTCAGTCAGGTGATCAAGAATAACATCACCAGTGATAAGTCATGCTAATAAATATGTACCTTTGATATAACAATGGCACATGTAATCTCAGTCTATTAATGGTAAAAACATCAGATAAATCCCAATAGAGGAACATTTTTACAAAAATATCTGACCAGTATTCCTCAAAACTGTCAAGGCTATCAGAAACAAGGAAAGTCTAAGGAACTGTCACAGCCAAGAGAAGCCTAAGACATCACGACTAAATGTACTGCAGTATCCTGGATGGAATCCTGGAACACAGAAAGGACATTAGATAAAAACTAAGGAAATCTGAACATTAACTATATTTAATAATAATGCATTAATATTGGTTCATTGATTGTATCAAATGTATCACTCTAACATGTTAATAATAGGGGAAACTGAGTGTGAAGTATGTGGGAACTCTGTTCTAGCTTCCCAATTTTTCTGTAAATCTAAAAGTTCTAAAAATAATTTAGAAAAATACCATTTTGAAAAAGAGGTAGAGGAACTGTTTAAAACAGAATAGAAAGACACATTAACCAATGTAATTTGTGGAGCTTAGTGGGGACAGCTATAAAAGTCATTCTGGGGACACATGGGGAAATACGAAATATTGGATGGTTCTTTTTCTTAAGTGTGAGAATTGTGCTGTGGTTAAATGGGATGTCCTCACTCTTACAGGGGAGGCATACTGACGTATTTAGGGATGTTATGATGTCATAAAGTGATATTATGATGTGATGATAAAACCTGTAACTTATGGTAAACAGTCTGGGAAAGAAAAAAAATCACATTTGAGAGAACAAAAACAAAAGGGACAAAATGTTAGGAATGGTGACTCTAAATTAAAGTATATTGGCTCTTATCAAACCATTCTTTTACATTTTCTGTAAGTTTGAAATTTTTCAAAATAAAATTTTAGAAAAAACATCAGTAGGATTTTAGAATTGCACAAAATGATACAAAAGTTCATCTGGAAATATAAGCATGCAAGAATAATTAGGAAAAACCCTTAAAATAATAATAATGAGGTATGAACTAGCAATGCAAAATAATTAAAAGACTGGTAATTTTTGCAACAGATCTAAATAAATATGGAAATTCAATGTATGAATAAGGATGGCTTTTCAAATCATTATGTAGTATAGTGTGTAAAAAAGTTAATAAATGGGATTTCGATAACCAGATAGCTAATTGAGGGAGAAAAATGTTGAATCTTTACCTCACTCCTTCTACCTAAATTAATTCCAAGTGAATCAAAGATTAAAGGTTAAAAAGAAAACTTAAAAATACTGGGAAAATACATTAAATTTATTCTTAAATGTAAAGAAGGCCTTTCTAAGCAAGGCACAAATCCCAGAAGCCATAAAGACTGATAAGTTTAACTACATAAATAAATAAA